GATGCAGAATTCTAACTTTTTGGTGCAATCAATTTACCTTTCCTGAATATGTGGTCAAAATCAAAATGCAATGAACAGCTGTGAGGTTTTAGCATAATATAGTGCCTTGAAAGATTTAAAATACTCAATCGCCTTTCAACATTTTGTCACCTTACACCCACAGACCTAATTGTTGTTCTGACTGCACAAAACAGAGTAACAAATAATCATAAGGTGAAAGAAAAAAAAAAAAAAAAATCTTTAAATCTTAGTCAATCTCCATCTGCCTTTCAGTCAAGTCAATTCACATGTTTCATGGTGTGCATTATATTTTCAAAGTGTGTGTAGTATTCTTTTTTAATGTAGGCAAAAAATTTTATTTTTAGATCTTATTAGCCTAGAAAACCTTCATCCATGCTTGCTGTCCCCGACATGGCTTGTTGCAAACTGCAGACTTCGTTGGGGCTATCCTTAAACCATTTTTTTCTTGTCAAAGTTCTATAAAGATCAGATTTGTGAATTACACTGATTCCTACTCATATTTGGAACTCTAAAACTTCTTCTGACACAGTTTAGACTCTGATAAGACTCTGATAGAAGAAACAAAGGTACAAATTCAGAAAATAATTTCCTCCAAATTGTAAGGCTGTTGAGATGCTGCCCCAGGATGGCACTGGAGAGGTACGTGGTAAAATATAGTTCTAGAGGTGACGATTATGGGTCCTATGTTAAGTGAGCAGTACTCAATGATGCTGATATAGTGTTTCTGGTTAGAGTGAGTTTACCCACAGAGCTGAGGTTAAAGGAGTTTGATGCATGATGGCCAAGTGGTGTTTTGTCCTTATTTCCCTCTTGGTGGGAGCAGGGAGCGATGGTGTCAGAGGGTGGACAGGCAGGTGAGTGGTGCAGAGGCAGAGTTAAGGAGTCTGCTATATAATGAAGGTTGACAGTGGAGTGGCAGAGAAAAGAAGAGGGATCCATCTTGATTTTCTCCACAAGGACTCCAGGAACCAGGAAGCAGATCAGAATTCAGACTTAAACTGAGTTATCTAGTTTCTTTCAGGGGAGAAAAGGAAGGTTAGTTTAAGAGGTTTGAGATAGAAGGTATGAAAAACGATCTGCCGTCTGTCTCAGGGAAGCAGCTCCTTTCCAAGCACCTCCTGGTGAGCTTTAATGAGCCTCCACCTGCTGGTTACACCTAGAAAGGAAAGTGGGAGGAGAAAACACACAAAAACTGCACACAGCTCTGTGGAAATCCTCGCGCTACTGACTTCCTCTCTGATATATGCTTTCTGTGACTCTTGAATCTTTTTTTTTTAGTTCTGGCATAGCTTTATTTGTTGTTTTGTTTTTTCAGATGATGTATTGAACAGTGGCCTTGGAGATATCCTGCACTGTACAGCCTAACACTGCTTTAAATTTCTCCAAAACATTATCTTTGACATATCTGTTTCCTGGTGATTCTGATGCTGTTTGTTCTATTGTGTGCTTGTATTTGATGGCCCCTTGTTGTGCAGTGGCGGTGCCAGAGGCGCCATCTTGTCTATTTCTGCAACTCTGACTTCCCTGGAAACATGGGGAAACACCAGACTCTTCATTGGAAATATGCACCCACAGCAGGAATTCTTTCTCTGTCACTGTATTCCCTGTTAGCAGGAATGGCCATGTTTTTATTAGCCTCAGAAGTCAAGCTCACCAGAATACAGGAAGGGGCAAAATTAACTGATTTTGCTCTAAAATTGATTGTAGATGGACTAGGGTACTCTCTTGTTGTCTAGTTCTTGTTTTCTACAAAGGAAGGCTGGAGCACCTCTGTGAATCATTCATTTCTCTGCAGTGGCAACTCTCTGAACTGCGCCCAGATTAATAGTCACTTTGACCTGAAATGCAATAAGGAAGGAGGGAGTCCCCTGCAATCATTACTCCACCCTCTTTTGACACCCCAGCAGTTACTGTAAATATTTGCATGGGTGAAATGCGGGAACAAAGTGAACTTCCTGTTACAAGAATAATATAGGCTTGTGAAAACTGTAGCTGAGGACTTCTGCACCACAACTGTTTAGAGTTGTGTGCTTTAATTGGCAAGGCCCCCATTACAGTTGTAAATAAAAATCAGACTTCAAGGGGGGGAGAGAGGGAGCAAGATAGTCCCTGAAAACACTGTTGAAGGTGCATAAGAGGAATTAGGACACATTACTGAGTTTAGCAGTGTAAGAGCTGCTGCTAATTGCATTTAGAAAGCAAGAAGAAAACCAACTTCTAACACCTGCTTTGGGCGTGGACAGAAGCATTTACCTTTCTCCTATTAACACTTGAAAATTTGTAAGGCCCTCTATTGTTCAGAGCCTAACTACACACTGAAATCTCTGGGGGGTACATAAAGTTTTGCCAATTATTCATCGGACCCCAGAAAATTATTTATTTTTTCATTTTTCATAATTATTTCATAATTATTCATCGTTTTACCAGGGATCTTTCATCAGTTCTCTATAGTAGACACAAAGTAGTACATAAGTAAGAAGAGAAATAAAAAGGTTATGTGGTTTGTGTAAATGTTTTCCACATTGAAGTGCACCATCTAGGTGTATTTTTCTCATTTTACTTGATATCAAAATAGAAAATGTCTTTAAAATAATTATTTGCTAAATAGTTGACGCTGAGTCCAACTTGATAAATCAAAGGAAAATCTTAATTAAATGTATTTTTGAGCTTTGACTAGGCCATAATAACAAAAATAGAACATTGAACCAGGTGTGTCCAAGTGCAGTCCTCGAGAGCTACTGTTCTGCAACTTTTAGATGGATCCCTTCTGCAACACACCTGTAGTGGGTTGATACTGAACAAGGCCTTTGCTGAGCTGAATAACTGACAGAGGTTAATTCAGCCCTTGAGGACTGGACTTTGGAATCCCTGTCTTGAACCATTTTGCTGTAACTTTATACTTGTGAGCCCACTGGATTTCTTGTTCAGGCTCTCAAAGATCTTCCCCAAAGTTACCCTACCATAACTCTTTTTTGACTGTGTGTGCGAGTGAGTGCTCTTTCACTCAGAGGATCTGTGGTGGTTTTGACAGCCGGTAGCACACATGCTGCCAAGGACACCATTCTTTCTCTCATAATAATCTTTACTGGTTTTCACTTCTCTGTTGGGTTCCGTACGGAGTTCAATAAAGCTTGCTAGAATCCTTAAAGTCCAAAGCTTCCAGAAGTCCTGCCATTGTGTTTCCTCACAGCTCCAGTGGCTCCAGCAGTCATTCCATCGGCATGTCTGCTCTCCAGCGATACCAAGCCAAAGGCCACTAATGTCTCAAAAGTTTGATTGAGATCACTCACCTTTCTGGACTCTCCACTGCAAACCTGAAATTTCTCCAGGTTTACCTTGTTCTGAATTCCTTCTTGGATTATGATATACCTTAAAACAGCTCCCTCCAGGACGGTTCTCTAAGCTCCCTGCCTCTGATATTCAGTAATTTGCCTATAAGGATCTCCTCCGTGAGTTAAACAGTTCACTTTCTGTCCATCTGCTACAGAAGCTGAATTACATGACCCTTTAGAATTTCTACTGCTATTTTGTTTTTGCTGCAAAAATAAAATATTTCCTCCAAGATCTTAGTCTGATTCTGAAAGTTGTCAAAGCCTGCTACAGCCATGACGTACACTGTATTGGGTTCCATCTATCTTTCCATTTAAATCTGACCAGCTTTCCTCTCACAGCTAAGGAAAAGCATAAAGCATAACTTTCTTAAATCTCTTTACATAATCCCTCTTCTGTCTGCTGTGTTCCTTGATGTGTAAACATATTTTCAGAGTTTACTAACACGGTTACATTTTCATTAAAAACATTGTTAAATTGTACAAACCTTTTCTATGGACTCACCTAATTAAAAGGCCAAATCACTCCTTAAGCATCAAATCTGACCTGATGGTGAACTAATCAGTCAGACTGGATGAAGCAATAAAAGCTAAATATATTTTGCTTCAAAATAGTTGATTATAGTTATTTTTAAACCATTTTTTTCTTTCTCTCTTATGAAACATGTTGGTGTTTTTGGTGCCAAATAAGGAGTATGAATAAGTATTCAAATTTCCTCAGTATTTTAGAGTGTTTATATTACTTACATTGAGCCTGACTTAAGTCTTTTCAAACAAACTTTACATTGGTCAATATTTTATTTCTTTTCCAATCTAAGTTTTATATTGTTGTGTTGTCTTTATAGTTTTCGGGGTTTTTTTTTTTGCAGAAATGATGTAACTGGTTGTAGACATTTATCTCTGAAAACAGGCGACCTGTTTCAATTTTTTACATATGCAAGGTTTAAGCTAAGATAAGTTGGAAACATAATTTAAATTGTCTTAAAGAAAAAGGGATAAAAATATATATAAAAAAAACTATTTTTATGGCCTGAAACAAATGGATTGATATTTTAACCATTAAATGAAAACTTACTGAAGAGAAATTATACCAAACTCAATCTTAAATTGTTTCCCTTCCATATTTAAAAAGCAGAGGAATGAGCAATACCAGCTAATAACATTTTGTTTTTCTGCATTTTGTTCTTTAAAACTCTTTAGATAATGCTTACTATGTAAATTATTGTAGTCTTTTTATACAAAGTTATTTATTTATTTTTTTTTAGTAGAAACAATTCATTTGTCATTAGATGTTAAATAAAACCTGACATGTTTGATTTAAAGGTATTGACTTTCCAGCTAAGAATTCTGACTCCTTTTCATTTAACTTTTTCAGCTTTAATCATGGAAAATAACATCTGAATTAACCAGGATAACATGTTGCCATATGTAAGGCAGTGAGAAAGGTAAGGATGTTCTTTCTCCTATAACCTTACTCATGTTTGCGTAACTAAATACTTTAATGTACTTCCTTATTTAAAACATCTGTCCAAATATTGCTGGTAGGAAAATCACCCCAAATTCCTGGAATCCACTGAAGAGAAGTTATAGAGCACTTAAGGACTGTTCATTATTGTAAAATAAAAATATAACAAACTCAGTAATTGTGGCTTATTTTATGAATTTATTTCCAAATGTAAACCTCACTATTTCATGCATACAAGTTATGACAACATACATTATTCAACAATCTGTTATTTCTCATATTTGCATAGGACATGGTCACAATATATTGTCTAACATGTAAAAAATAATGCCATAAAAAGATAAACAGAGCAGCTAAGACCAGCACATTATGTGTGTTGAATTCATTGAACTGTACAGCTGTAATACTTAAATGTAGTGATTTTGGTTTGCTGAAGAAAAAATAAAAATAACAAAAAATAAAATAACAGATTCACCTGAAGGTTTTGTGAGGTCATAGAGAGGAATGTACTGGCCATAGCTGAGCTGAGAGTTATTTACAGAACAGATTATAAGGGTGCTTTAAGAGGAGGAAGCAGCACCACGGAGTCACTACAACAGGCAACTGATGGTGAGGGTGCAGAGGAAAAAACACACAGAGGTATCAAGAGAGCAACATTACACTGAGGAGGTGCACTACAGACGTAGAGGTACGGGAAACAAAATGGAAAAGGCCGGTGAGAGGCTCTCTAATGGTCACAGAGGTTAATGACACCACTGTATGCTGCAGAACCTGAAAGCAAATCCCTACAGGAAAACTTTATTCAAACAGACTTTCTCTGCATTGAGGAATGAGTGCCGCACAGCGTCTCTCAGACATGTTTAAAATCAAATGACCAACAGGTTGGATCTGCTTGTTTTCTTACTGCCTTGATTATTTTTAGACTCAATCTGAGTACGGATTCTTTTATAAGTCAGCGACTTAAGTTCATTCAGTCTACTTTCTAAAAAAATAAAATAAAGAGGTGCCTACTTAAGATATATCTATAAAAAAAAAAAAGGTCAGTGTCTAGCACATCCATCTATCAACTAATACAGCACATTGAAACTGAACCCCATCGGTTCAAACAGAGCTGGATTCAAATGAAACATTCATTCTTTTCCCTTCAAAACCTTTGGTAACAAAGAACTAAAACCCTTCTATATGGCTGCCTCTAAAAATGCGGGGGGAAAAAATCCCTACTTTACAAAGTAAAAGCTTTAGGTCTTTGTCCTGTGTGACGACGTGCTTTGTAGCTTTTACGTGTAGGTATTCATTTGAATTTGCTAAACCCAAGCGTAGTCTAAAGCATGTGGGACATTGGAAAACGTACCTTGTGCACAGACACACCTACATAAAAACACATTAGGTTGAGGGAAGCAGCACATTTAGAGCAATTGCAATCTTAAATCCTTTGGAATGGTTAAGCATCTATCATCATTAAACTGTTAAGATGTCAAAAATAGCTGCAGTAAGCAATTATACACTGCTTCAGCACTGAGCAGAAGCAACACAAAAGGACCAAAATGAAGAACAAAGAAAACAAAGCTACATGAAGCTAAACGCTTACATAAAGGACACAGAACAAAAAGATTTAACTTAAAGGAAAAACTGCTTGATCAAATCCTGTACATAACATTTCAACATGTCAAACTTTATATAAAACTGTACAAGATTATTTTTTTTTAAACATCTTACAGAAGCTAGATTATTTATGCTCAACATTTGTATCCTCTTTAAGAAGTTACCACTGTAGTTTTGGCACACAATTGCGTTAATCATGCTTGTACTTTAGCTGACTATGTCTGATCAGTATTTTACTGATGTCCTTAATATGAACTTAAATATATAATGTAACATTAAATTGTTAGTTTGATGCTTTAATTCATATATGTACTGTCAGTATTTTAGAATCTTTGCCTTTAGAGATCTGCGATAATATGTAGGAATTCAGGTTTGAAACCAAAAGAAGGTGATAGTTTGGGATCACCTGGATGCTTAAATATGTTTTTAGCATGAAGTAAGAAAAAAAATATACAAATGTTCTCCTGAAAAGATGGTTTTTCCTTATATTTTGAGGGACATGCAGGATCTGGCACTATGGAATGGTTATACCAAATGCAGCCCAGTGTTTCATTTTTAGTTTTGTACAAATAAAACTTTCGTTGTCTACTTCTTCATTCAAGTAGGAAAAAAATAAAAACCAACATTATTTTGCTACTCATTAAGCAAACACAAGCTACATGATGGATTCTCTGAAAAGATATGAAGGTAAAACAAACTTCAAATATCTCAAGAGGTATAAATCAGCAGAAAAAAACAATAATAATAATAATAATTCACCCTTAAACAACAGCAATAATAATAATAATAATACAAATAATGACTACATTGCTAACTCACAATTACGTGGTCTCTGATAATATGGAAAAAGTTTAAAATAATCTAAAGCAATAAGAAGAAATTATCAGTGAATGTGAAACTGACATAGACAGAGGTAAAAACAAAATAACCCACCCACCCCAGAGGTTTTTTTTCTTTTTTTCATTTAATTAATTAAAGGAATATTTTTGGGATTACAGGATTTACCCGAAATCCCTGACATCAACAGATTACTCAGGGGGAATAAAAGTCCCTGTTCAAAGCACACAAAATTCAAATTTACACATAAACAATCTCAACCTTTGAGATGTGATGTACTCTAAACAGCTGAAAATGACTGACAGGAATCTGAAATTAACAAGGAATTAGGAGCCAAAGAATCAGGCTTTTTTTCATGTTCCTTTCAAAGGCTTGGACAGAAAAAAATGAAAGAACATTAAAACTAAACATGTACAAAATTGTGTTCAATGGCCTTGCGTGTTGGAATTATTCAAGTACATTAGTTACAGTGAGAGTAAAGGTTTTTGAGACGCCGTCTGTGGATGCCAACATGCCACTTCTTTCAGTCTGGCTGGAAGCATAGACTTTTCTGTTCAAATGGTTATCATAAAAACAGCTTCATAGTCTTAGCAAGACTGTAGGATGGTATCGAGACATGAAATTAGCTGAAATGGCTGCACCGAGGTGGTCTTGTTTTTTCACCGTGGTTACACACCGTCCAGCAGTGAACACTGGGCACGCATGACCACCTGCGTGTGGCAACTGATTTTACAACAAAACCCCACAAACTGTCCCATATCTGCTAGGCAGATGTTGACCCTGAGGAAAATGTGCAGATTATAGATTAAAAACTGATTAATGCGTCATTTTTTTCTCCTTTTTTTTTTATTTGCATGTGAGTACTTAAAACCAGGTCAAAAAAAATTATAACCAAAACAAGAATATACAGAAAGCATGCTGATCAACAGCATATCTTTTTTTAAGGAAAATGCTAAGCTCTCACGTCGTTTTTTTAAAGAGCTGCAAATCAGTGGCATTCAAAGTGTCATTTTGCAGCCTGCAAACAATTTTAACAACATACAAAGGATTTTGTTTTAAATCGGTTGAATTTTAAGCTAAATATGTGAGAATGAGAGTGGATTCATTTGGACTTAAAAGAGAAGATGGCTGCAGTTGAGGAAGAAGGACAAGGCCTGACATTCATGAATTTACACCTGCCAGACTGACAAAAAAAAAAAAAAAGATCCTCGCTTTCAGAGCAAAGTTAACATGCATGTAGCGTTGAGCGCGGGATAACAGACCAACAGTTGGTCAAATTAGCCCCGGTGGCAGTTAATTCTGCAGGAGTCTGAACTGTATGGATGACAGTACATCCAACTGCAGCAAGGAAGCATTAAAGGTGCGGACATAACGCAGACTATCAGGGATGCGACAGTTTTAATAGTCCTGCTTTTTTCCCCTTTAGCCTGACTTATAGAGGCATGTCTCTCGGTTTTTTCATGGGGTCATCTGAGCTCCGAATGCTGAGTTGACAAAAGCCTGGCGAACGCTGCACTTTGCTGATATGTTGATTTTAGTTCCAATGTTTTTGCAACACTTTGAAAGCTCCCATCCCCCGAACTTGTGAGGAGAAAGGAAGTTTAAAAGCAGCTGTTTAGAAGCTTGGGTTTATCAATGCGAGCTCGGAGCAACGGTTTCCTCTGCATTGTGAAATCTGATTCTGCAGCTTACATGAAAAGGAATCCTGTTTGTGCTTTGGATGAAGTCGGGCACCTCCCACCCACGCTGCTGATGCTGTCTACCATCAGCTCTTGTTCATACACATTTGCTCTTATCCTGCAGTGCAGATCAAGCTACCAATTACAGCTATTTTTGATATTTTGTTGGCTGTTGCTACAGTTGGGGGTGGGGTTGGGGGGGAGGCGGGATGTCTGCTTCCGTGTGTCTCCTCCTTTATGCTGTTCAGCTTGTGATATAACTCTCTCCTCTTTTATCAGGACCTGCCCTCTCTTGCCTGTTTGTTGCAGATATCTGCTTTGTTCCCTCAGCTCAGATAGGCCTAACGCCTTAGCTGACAATTGACCTCATACTTGGGCAACATTCATGTTATTCAGCGGGCTCATTGACAGGACAGGTAGAGCCAGATAACGGAAAAGTCTCACCAGACAAATGACATGCCAACACTCCCTCCACTGGGAATGTCTAATTTTGGGTGCAGCTGTTTCCTTCAGGGAAGTCAAGCCAGGAGGAAAGGATATAGGCAGTGGCTTTATCTTCCAGTCTCCTTAGGACTGAATTAAAAAGCTTGTCTTTGGTAAAATTTCTTATGTGCTTGATGTGTGATTAAATTGTTGCTTCCAAAGTTTTTTTAATGTCCATTTTTAGTTGAAATCTGTGCTGTTTAAAGAGTAATCCATGTTTCTGCAAGTTCTATGTGGCTGTAAAATAGTTTTTAGGTTCTCTAACTTGAATGAGCTCAAATTAATGGTTTTTACCCTTAGATTAATAAGTGGTTTGCTGACCTTTCTTTTTATTTAAATGACAAAAAAGTTACCTCTAGTTGATTTATAAAAGGCTGGATTCATTGCAAGTGGTTTATTTTGTACTTATTTTCTGTAACCTTTAGTTAGCTTCTTTTTTTAGATGTACCGGTATTATTTTTTGCTAAAGAAGAAGTTTAAAAAATCCTCCTTCAATTTTTTTTTCATGGATTTTGATCTAGAAAATGACACCGATTTATCAAAATACTTAATGTGGACTATCAACCCCACAAAGGCTTAGAAGTTAGTTACATAAGCATGAAAGTACGCAGCTCACATGCCAGAACTGAAAGACACCACTTTGAGCGGACAAAACGTAAAATTAAATATCTTAAGCTAGTAATTAAGTTAAACACAAGCCATTGATTAAATGGTTTTTAGGTTAGTCCTTATCCATCATGTAGGTTTCTAATGTAAATCATAATATGCTTAAAAAGGAATTTGATTTATTTGTAGAAACTTGCAGGAAACTTGGTATTTGCACCTATGCATAAACAGCTGCTTTTAAACTTCATTCCCACTATGTAAAGGTTCAGTAGGTTCTTAAAAAAACATATTGTATAATTTCATGAAAACAATAACCCAGTATAGTCTTTTTCCACCTGACAGTGCAGATTCACATCTGTTTCTCTATATGGTAGTTTTTATGCAGTGCACTTCTTATGCCTATTGTAATGTCAATAAATATTAGCACTTATGCATCTGTTTCTGCTGCAGGGGTATTGATTGTTTTCTCAAAACACAAAGAGAATGGTACATTTGACCTCACCCCCAAACGTGGGGCAGATGAACTGAAATTTTGCACAAAAAAACGACCCTAGTTTCCTAAAACGTGAAAGCCAACAAACAAAGCAAAGAGTGCAAAGTGTGTTGAGTGTAAGGCTGCAGTATAGTATGTACTGTATGTTTCTCTTCACCATGTTCATTCTTTCAAGATAACAAGGCCATCCCTGAGCAGGGCGTAAAATTCAACTCCCTGTTGAATTTTCGAATAAAGTGATGAGTTTATTGTGCAGTCAATGTGAGTACTCTCGAGTACTGTGGTATTACAGAAAGAGCAACTGTCTTAAATCCTGAGGTGTGTGTGTTTGTGTGTACCCCTTCTCCTGACCCGTTCAATAAAAAAAAAGAAATCAGTTAAAATCTAAACATATTGATAAGACTTATGAGGAAGTCTGTCTGTTTTTTTCATTTCCTTCTTCGAAACTGAATATACAACTAACAACTAGCCATAGTCAGAAGCTCAGAAAATACAGACATGTGGTACAGAATGGAAATACCGCCATCTGGGAAAGGCATTATCTTCTTTTAGGATCACACAAGTAATTGCACTACAATAAGCACTTATGTACAGTATGGTACACCACAGCAAGCGCAGGAATAGCAAAGGAGGGGGTGGCGGGTTGCTCACAACTGTGCAACAAAAGTGTTATGATGAAATTGCAGGCCTCACAGTCTGGGGGCCAGAAAAGTGCGACCAAGTTTCAGTTTAAGGCGAGTTGGCTGGACTGAGGGTGGGGCTGATGGTGGGACTGGATGCATCTGAGCGGCTGTAGTCGCTGAGAGAGCCTGGGCGCGTATTGGTCCCGCCGTGAGGCTTCTTTAACATGCTGGGCTGGAAATCGGAGTGGCGCCTGGCATGTTTCATCAGGTGGTCGCTGCGCATAAAGCGTTTGTCGCAGAGCGGGCAGCCAAACTTCTTCTCCCCCGTGTGGGTACGGTAGTGGCGGGCCAGCTCATCAGAACGGGCAAATTTCTTAATGCAGTCAGGCCAGGTGCATGGGAAAGGCCGTTCACCTGCAGTACACAAGAAAATATGCAATTAGGATTACACCTTTTATATATCCAGGTAAATTGAGATATAATCCTCAAAATTTTAGAGCACAGCAAACATTTCTGCTGTCCAATGCAAATTAAAGAGGAAACAGCAGAGGAACAAAATGTCCAACATATTAACTGAAATATTAGAAAAGCTATGGCTTAGAAAGAAAACTGCTAAAAGAAACCTAAAACCAAACGCTAAACTGTAAGGAAAAGCAGAAGACTTATAGGTTAAAATTTGTTAAAACTAAAATTAACATCAACTAATATCCTGGAATGAGCTTTTCTGCCCTGCTGTATCATCTCTTTTACAATGTACATATAGCACATACAGTATGCTAAAGATAATAATAGATATTATGGTAGGATTAGCTGCTATAAAAATGCTAGAATTTATGCAAAAATTAAATGTCATAGAAAAACAGTGCAACATATTTTAATGTTGATGTATTTGAAAATCTGTCACTTGATTTTTCTTAAACTTAAGTTGTGTTTCTAGCAAAAGTAAGAGGAAGCTGTTTAGCATGATGCCTTTAAATGACTAAAAAGGTGTAATAGTGCAAATCATTTCACCCAGACAATAAAATATGTGAGCATATTTAATACCAAATGAATATAACTGATATGGAGCAACAGTATGTGAAGACTAAGGTAGTGAGCAAAAACAAAACAAGAGGAAATGATTCACTGAGAGCCTGTTAACATTATGACCATCCATGGACAGCTGTACTCCTTTCTGCTCCTATTTGGCAACGTTTTAAATTATATGTCAAAGCATTAAAAACAGATGAGCATACCTAATATGCCACAAGTTTACAACTTGTGCATTATGCAACATCTCCACAACTAAAAAGGCGCCACCACTAAGTGATACTCTGCCAGAGCTTCCCCTTATAAGCAAATTTTTGATTGAGTACAGAAGCACAGAGGGCGGAAAATCCTCCAGATAATGTTTTCTGTAGACCAAGCTAGAATTGAGCCACTTTTTTTTAGAAGAAATATACCATTGTGGTCTAGACAAACACCAAAAAGGCATCCAAACTTTTCATTTTTCAATAAAAAAAATGCTCTAATGTAGAGCGGTTTGATTTTTCTATGCTAAAACAGCTTTTATTACATCTTTAAGATGTTGAATGTAACATTGATTATAATAATATTTGGCATTAACAGGGTAGTTTTGTTCACTTCCCATAGGTCTTATTCTGTTGTTAACTTCATTATCAACCATTCATTGTTTATATCCACTTATCCCTGCAATGTCACCAAGGCACTAGCACCTATCTCCAACGGTTATTCGGCAAGATGCAACGTACACTCTAGACAGGTCAGAAATTCAACACAGAGCTTTATTATTATACCCAATACTTTCATTCAAATAAAAAGTATTTTTTTAATTGCTCTTTTAATTGAAGAACCTATCTGATCAGGGTTTACATGGTAAATAGCCATTTTCTTGAGAGCCACAGTGTATGTCTCTGATAGGACACAGCCCCCCCTTCAATCTCTGCAGTTTTCCATCTATGCTATCAGGAGGAGATAGCAGGTCAGATTCAGGGTCCTTAGAGATGGAGGATGACACCTCATGGCCACATGGGAGAGATAAGACATGATAATGTCCATTTAAGGGGCTGATAAGCTCCAAAGTAGACTGGGTAGCATTGATTGCAATGTTATGTCAAGATTAAAGTATGTATAGTTGCTATGAGTCCGAACCGTATTAAAGCACCTTGACATTAAGCCATGTTTGGGTAAAAAAGAAAAGTAGATAAAAAAAAATCTAACAACATAAATTATCCAGTGGCTTTTATTTAAAAGAGAAAAGTCTCAATTATTTCAACTGTAGCCAAAATAATATAGCACATTTATATTCAACTTCTCTTTAACTTTAAATAATTTTGTTTAAAAATGTGCGTTTGGATTTAGTTTTAGATGTTGAAATGCATATTTTAACCATGATGTCACTTCTTTTGTAATTTTGTTTGTGTTTCAATCTTTTCATCCAATACCTTAAATTCCAAAATCAATTCTAACTTTTTTCTAGGTGGACTACCCAACATGGTTCTTGCATCATACCAAACACTTGATTTGTAATTGTTTAATGTTCACTATGCATGTTTAAACGATGAATGGGATTCATTCATTGGGGCTTAAGTTTATGAAATTTCTAAAGAAATGAATCTCTATTCTGAAATGACATTAGTGAAGCCATACTTTTGTGTTAAAGGTAAATATTCTTCCTACATAAGTGGAAACTTTTAATGCTTCAGTAAAAGAATTTGGAGCTAATTGCAAGTTTGGATGTTTAAACAGTACAAGAAAAGCAGGATGTAAATTCTGAAGTTAAATAATCTTTTGGAGAATAGCCTGACGGAATTGAAGCCATATGTGATTAAGGTGAAATGGGCCACAAATGGAGTTTATAACCAACCAACTGGCCTCTGCTTTCATGTGAGATTTGATATACAAGCCTCCTTAGCAGCACTAATAGTTAGAGGGTATGTGCGTAAACCATATGGAACCTGATGATAACAGTGGTTATCCTAATCTGACAAATACCTCATCACTGTGAGTGATGATTCATTTGATCCTAATAAATAAACAATGTTATTTCTACACTTTAATAACCGTCTGAGAGGATGGATAATAAAAATCATCAAGTTATCTGCTACAGTAGGAGATGTGAGACTAACAAGCTTTAACTGTGTTCATTTTGATAAATTATCTACAAACTTGCATGACACTGAGCTAGCAGGCACAGTTTAATTATACAGTCCTGGATGCTAATCCCACCTACAACCCAACCCATATTTAAAAATGCTGCTATTCATGTTTTGGCACAAATCAAAATTTCGCCCTAACCGTACTCCGTTAAAAGGTAATATTTAACTAAATGTATACATATCAACTACATGTTATCTCATGTATTGTGTATGATTATTGTACACTAAACAAGCAGTTTATCTACATTATGTTTTTGAGTACATATTCATCAAACCTCTGATTAGCTAAACAAAACAAAGCATAGACGGGACTGCATGTTGGAAAAAGTTAGTTTTGCTGCTTTAACTCAAAATAATCAGCTGCTGTTCACATCCAGGGCATTGGTTTGAAGTGAGATACATACATGTTAATAGAGGCCAAAAACACAGAGACCAAAAAAAAAAAAATGGCTGCCAAAGACTTTGCATGTTAGTTTCGTTATGGGCAAACAATTGAAACAAGCACTGTTCTCGTCACACATCATACCTGATGCCAGAGAGTCCCCCCCCCACACACACACACACACATAGACACACAGTCACACACCACCCCGCACCCATTCTGCACGCTTACAAAACATGCAGACAGACAGAGCAAGTCTAGACAGTATGGTTTGTGCTTCTACCTCTGACGCCTTAACATCAGCTGCAGACAAACAAAGTCAGCCCTGCCCACTGCAGTTCCTGTAGGTTCATGCATCATTTCATGTATATAAACTCACTAGCTGATGCATATTTCTTTGCATATAGACTTTGACTCCTTTTTTTTTTCTAGAACTAAATAAAAACAACACTTTGACTTTCCATTTAAAGGTTTAAGTAAAAATATAAAGCTTGTGGAAGGAAATGTGGTGTGAATGCTTGACCCCCGCTGATTGTGTTTAATGTTTTAGTGATATAATATCATTTTAGCAGCAGAGGATAACTATGTTACTGGCCTAAAAGTATTGCCATGTTCTGCTGGCTGCTTAAGGGTTAATAACAAGAGTAACAGATCCAACCAACATTAATATTTGAATAGATGAAAGAGAGCTAAGACTGAGATACTGTGTCTGACCTGCCTGATACAGATACGCATAGTAACGCATTAGATATCAAACTTTATTTCATTGAGACAAATGTTTGGAGCTCTTTGCAGTTCAAATAGTTTTGGATTTAAGGGTAACAGTGTGAAAATAAAGATTTTTAAACTGAAAAAAAAAATATACATTGTTCCATACAACTCTACAGCATACGGTGGTTCTCAAAAGTTTGCATTCTCTATTTGATATTATAGGGGAAAAAAAGATATTAAAACTGTTTAACCTTTCAGCTTCTACAGATATTTTGAGCATTTATTTTTTTCACTTTTTCATTATGCAAAAATAAACTCTGTAGTATCCTGGTTATGTGAAGGACCATAACCTTGGACTAATTATTTGTCATCTACTTTTCTGCCTTTAAGAATGACGTAGTAGAAATGATTGACATAAAATTAAATGAGCTGACCTAGTTTGATTTTACTGAAACTTCGATATTTGGTTTGCTTTACTTTATTTAGATTTGTAACACAACATCTACTAATGTTGTACAATGATGTCAGTCATAGACAGAGGAAATGTGAGACAACAGCGACATTATTAAAAGCAGATGTATCAAAATCATTACAATTAACATATATAAAGTGGTCATGAAGACCAGGAAGTTAACAGCGACAATACTGAAGGAAACTGCAGGAATTTTAAAATGGACTCTGTTGAGAAAACTATTTTCTGTAAGGAGCAGGGTCACAAGACCATTTTTTTTTTATTATTATTGAAAAGAAAACATCCAGAGCTTTGTTTCGGTTTTAGTCAGAGCGGAATTATGGTCTAATGATTTATGGTCTAAATGAAACTAAGGTAGAGTAATATGTGATAGTGGTAGCATCAAGATATAGGTTTAGTTTTTTTTAAGATTGGACTATGGTTTTGTTTGGGGGCATGAAGTTATACATTCTAAATACCGTTCAGTAGACACCTTAAAGTATCTGCTAAAAAGCTGACAAGGTAAACAAATTTATTTTAAGAGTACTGTGAGGCAGTGCAGATATACATTAAAATAACTTAATCTGGAGTTATGGAATGGTCTAGTCAAAGTCAGCATCAAAATTCAAAATGAAATCTGCAGACTCAGCTGAAGAGGACTGTGGACAGGAAATGTCATCACCATCTGATAGAGCCCTGGAGTTTTTTTTTA